TGCTCAAATAAAAAAAGGAATGACACAAAACTGGCTGAGTGTTTGAACTGATGAACACTCATGTAGCTGCATTGCCAAATCTGATWCAATTACAGCCTCCTCCTTGCTCCACAGAGATATTACATCTCACTAAACCACTATTCCACGTAAGTATGGTGCCAGCAGGTGGACCATTAGCAGTTTTTGCCAGCTGCATTTTTGCAACATGTAGGTACATATCTGAGAACAGGTAAGTCCATGTAGGCACAGTGTGCACAACAATGCAGAATCTGTATTGTCTGATGTCCAAAGGATACATTTTCCTAAATGCTCAACTGGTGCCATCTTGGCAAAGAAGAGGGAAGGGAAACGCCAACTAATTGTGAGCCATTGTCATCGACAATGGTAAATATAATCAGCTAACTTGATTATGTTCAGATATCTTTGGATCAGAATCAGTTTTATTGCCATTGTCAATGAACAGGATTCACAGACTGGGAACACATCAATACTGCATACTGAAGCATTTGTTTATTTATTGCAAGTCATATTGTCATCAAAATATTAAGCACTGTTATTGCACATTGCAGGTTTTTCCTGATATCATACAGCCCTAGTTTACGATGCACAAAACAAAAGATTTGCACATTATTTTTCTATTGTTCTCTGCCAGAGGTGTTCGATCCTGGTCCTTGAGAGCTGCTACCCTGCATGTTTTACTCGTTTCCCTGCTCCAAAACACCTGATTCAGTGATTGAATTACCTCTTCGAGTTCTGCAGAAGTCACCCATTCATTCAAATCAGGCGCATTGGAGCAGAGAGACCTTTAAAAATAGAGGATAGTAGCCCTCGAGGACCAGGATTGGACACCCCTATTCTATGCAGACCATTTTGTGAGAGTTCAACAAATACGTTTTCAGAATCTTCCAAATGTAACAACATACAGTATAATAACTGATGACAAAGCTACTTTGTGACACCAAATTGATGTTCCCTCTCTGATTAGAGCTGCAGTGTTAAAAGGTCAGATTCTTTTCATCTTTAAATGTGTTTTTAAATCTTTGAAGCTGGTAAGTTCTGAAACCCGAACTTCCTGTGCCAGCAACCCACATGTCTCCCCACAAAAAAACATCATTTATTCAAATAAAATGCAACACAGCCTAATCATTTACGGTGTTGTGTTCTTATTCTCACCATTATTCACATTTGCTATAATTATTTAGTACCAACAAAGGATGCCAAAAAACTTAATCACCCTCTCCCTCTTCATAAGCTTCTTACTGCTTCCTTTTCACAATTGTCTGCCAGATCATTTTCATTTAATTGCACTTAATGATCACATTTAGAATACGATTATTCATTCATATGAACACAAAAAGAAAAACGATGCCTTACTGCTTACTTGCTAGTGCTCAGTTAGACGTTTGAAAGAATTACAAATTGATTTAATAGGAGTTTATTTCATAATGACTCATCTATTTATTTAAACTCTCACAAAAAATTAAATGTCTGGCTTTCAATTTGTCTGTCATTGCTTTTAATATAAAGACACCAAAAATAAAATTTTACAGCTGTGTGAATAAAGAAGAAGACATTATTCTCTGACAAAAACCTAATTGGTGGAAAATTGCACAACATGAAACTTTTGAGTGAAATTTTACTTTAATTTGAAGAGATCAATCTAATATCTGAAACTTACAGAAAACTGCTTCATATTCCAACGTATAGCAATAGAAGTTAATTGTTGGAGCTAATTTTGAAAAGTTTAGTTGTTCAGTACGATAAAAGTGACGGASAGTTCAAAAACCTCATCAGACAACACAAAAGCTCAAAACCTTGCATTGTGTCAGGTAGCTTTGTGCATGCAAGAGGTTCAGATTTGGTAAAAGTTCAGACATAAAAGGGAAGAAATGAGCTGCTGGAACACCCCAGTCTCATCAGTTCCATGCATGATCTGATCTCACCATTCAGATAAGGTCAAGAATGCAGCACTGAGTGAGAAAAGCGGGAAGAGAGTGATTAAAGCTTTGAGAGCTAATCAAAAACCACCTCTAGCGGCTTTCAGATTAAGCCCCTCAAATACCAAAATATCTCCTCTGAAACGCAAAGCTGTTTGTCAGACTGTGCTGCCGCGAGGACAGCACAGCTGTAGAAATGTCCCGCAGCATGTGCAATATGAATGGTTTCAACCAACAAAACAAACTTATTCACAAAATCTCCTCAAGCCATAAATAAGGACACAACACATTAGGTGCTGTAAATTCCCTACTTGACAAAAAGCCCCTCATAGCTTAATGACACGATGCTGTGATATTAGCTTTTATGATTAAAAGATAAGAATATAATCCCTCTTTCTTTTGTTTTGTTTTTTTCTCTGGCTGCACTTTAAACCCCATTAACCTTCTGACACCCGCGCCCCACCCCCCAAGTCCATTTCATTTTTCCAACATTTCCTCCCAACTCCCGAGTGATTTCTTCCTTTTCACAAAACATTTCATTTTCTTTGCCTTTTATTTCTCCGTACCATGCATTATAAATCTACACTGTCATGTCTGACACATTTTTTCCCGTGACACTAACACATCCTTTAAACAGCATGGGCTAAACTATTTAAAGCAAAATCTTTTTTTTTTCTTTTTACAATGAACAAACTTGGCCTTACCAAAAACTATGAGTGAAAAGAAAGAACTACTCAATTCTGATGTAGCCGTTTTGTTAAAACAGCAATATGTAGCTTTGTCATTATCCAATAATACATTTCGGACCTCTGTTGTCAAAGATTTGTTGATTATTTCATCCATGAGGACACTGTGACTTGACCTTCAGTCCCTGGAGGTAAGATTTATTGAAGGACTTATTTATTTTATTTAAAGATACCATACTTTTTTTTACTCTTGCATGTCTGGGGTTTAATTAAAACCTTCACCAGAAAGTGAGACATTTACAAATACCGAAAACCCACTGAGGGCCAAAAAATAAAAGGGACACATTTAATGATCCAGCATGTAAGATGTGGTGATATCTAGTGGCACAAATTACAAACTGCAATAAGCAAGATGTTTCTACACTGTAGCTGCAAAACAATGCACAAGGTTCTTTTTGACACCAGTGTTTATATTTGGCTGATGGCAACTAACTCAATTTAGCAACATGACAACCCACATTTTATTTTTGGTGCAAAACATTGAAGTAATATGGGGGCATTTTGTGTCATCTTTGAATATAAGTGAATAATTTGTAATACAGAATGTAATGTAACTACCTGTAGAAGTGCAATATAAACTGAGTGACATTAAAAACAACAAAAAAAAAGCTTTCTCACTTGAACATAGTGGGGCAAATGCCAGCTTTAAAGTCTCAACACAACTGAACCAAATGCTGAATGTGAGTCTACGGAGCACTAAAGAGAACCAGATGGGAACGTCCCTCTGACAACTCAAACCCAAGCGATGACAGACGCTCTCGAGCTTAAAGCATGACACTGAAGTACAAAGCACCTGTTCCCTTGCAGCTATTTTGCAGCACCTCTTCCCAGCTTSACTGGCTCTCCCTCAGCTATGAGGTCATCGGCTCAATTGGACCAAAACTGCTGGTGCCAAAAGTCCAATACGATCTCCTAAAATGCCCCTGCAGGGATGATCCCCCTATAGGAAGACAGGTTCATGCCATAAACATGAATACATATACAAAGATTTCTCTGATTTCTGCTGGGGTAAATTTTACATTAATGCTCAAAAATTATAACAAAACTTGTTTGGAAGCCATAAAGCAACAGTGTAACTTTAACACACTTCTTTAAAGAACAAAGAAAGATTGGAGAGTGGACAGCTCCAGACAAATGGTTTAAGTGTGTGCAGCTCTGTAGCTGCTGAGTGTGAATGGCATCCACAGATGTTCTTCACATGTCCTGTGCAKCCGGACAGTCAGTATTTGTTTGCATGAGAGACCCGTTCCTAGAGCCAGCTGGTTGTCTAAATACTCATCAGCTCTTCATTGACACGTCACTCATCCTCAATTGCCCAAAACTGGTTTTCCATACAGTCCCATCTACCCATAAACTTACAATTTAACAACGAGCACAAAGAAACAAGGAAGAAAAATTGGAAACAAAAACCAAGAGAAAAAGATGACAGAAGGATTTTTCTTCAGAGGAAGTGTATAGACTGTTCAACTCACTGAGCCAGTCCATCTGGATCCCTTACGCAAGCATTGTTTTAAACTGTAGAAAATGAATTATTACTGTTGTTTGTCATGAAACCAGGATAATAGAAAAACAATAAACAAACATCTCTACCAAATCATCCAAATAGAGCCACATTGCCTTACAGCTATAGGCAGGATTAGTTGCAAATTGAAAACTTAGCACTTTTTTTTAACTTTACCATTAATGAATTTGTTCTATTAATGAGCTAAACTGACTCACATTTGTAGAACTATATGGGCGCTGCTGCAAAAGTACCATTTTATGCTTGAAAAATATTGTTTTGTTTAGAATTTACGTTAGAGGAAACGTAAAAACGAAATTCCTGGAAAACGCTACTTGGTGGGCTCAAACCAAAACAAACTCTCCAGCACCAGGTGACACTTACTCAGTCATGCTTGTTCAAATAAACTGCACAAATGAACACAGCAAAACCTGAACTAGCCTTGGCCTCTGGATCCCCATGGGTTTCCTCTTTTGTTTATGGAAGTGAATTCTGATAAAAAAAAATATTTTGAGGCCTTCCAGTCGTCTTTTCCTTCCAAGTCAGCCACACAAACAAACATGAGAATGACTCTTTCTGCATTAAAGCAGGCCTGAATGTTGCAGTGAACGGTGATCAGTTTCAATTTGACATTGATGCATTTGACTGTAATTATGATGTCATCAAATGAAAGATGGCATCAGGAAAACTGAGGCTGTGAAGCCACATGGAGGGATGTTTTACTGAGGACAGAAAACTGCAACTTTAGCTACTGACATCTCAGTCAAATGTAAACACGTACATCAGTGTGACCCATCACATCCAGATAGTTCTTACCTTGTGTCTGGACTGTGGTGAATCTGATTCTGGATCTTTCTTTTCTCCATGTGAGGTTCCACGTCCCAGTGTACCTCCATCCTGCTGCATGCTCTGTCCCACCTGCACCAGAGCTTTGCATTCTGCACACGAGCCAATCACCAGCCTCCTGCCGTCGTCCACCAGGAGTGTCCGTGGGCTACGAGGTGCATACAGGAAGATAGGGAGCCGGGCCACAGTGACAGCACACAGCCTGCCTTGCCTGCGCTGCTCCTGCCTGCAGAAGAAGCACACAAAGGCCTCGCAGCTGTACTGGCGGGCCCACGGGGAGCTTGGTGGCTGGAGGTTGGCACTGGATAAAGTAGAGGAAGCAGAGGTGGAGGGATCCACGCCCTTGCTCTCGTGTTGGGCCCACTGAGCGTGCAGGTCRTGGTAACACAGTTTGCAGGCCGACACCAGGCCTGTGGTGTCAACCGGCTTGGCCCCGGGTGCAGGTGGGTGGACTGTGAGAAATGGGTAAAAAGGCTCCCGCTCTCCGCAACGACCGGGCGGGTTCACGTGCAGCTGGTGCTCTCCTCCTGCACTCAGCTCGGCTCCACACAGGTAACACACGGACACTGAGCTGCTGGGGACTGAGCTCACTCCTGCGCGAGAGTGGGCCGGTCCGGACCCGTCGACGGACATGGATGCGTGGTACCTGACGAGGAAGGAGCTGACAGATGTGATGAGGTCTTCGCTGATGCTGAGTCGATACGCAGCCCAGATGTCCTCCAGGATGGAATGGCACTGCGGGCAGCAGTGCACACGGCCGTTCCTCACCCGCTGAGCGTTGGGTGGACAGGGCAGCATGTTGATGAAAGGAAAGTACATCACCGTGCGAGACTTACCAACACCGGCCTGCGCATAAACTACTCTCATATCTGCTTTACTCTCTTTACCACAGAGATAACAGGCTTCATGTGAAACCCTGGGTTCAGGTATGCACTCTGTGGAGCTTGGCGTCTTTTCGTCTTGTGTAGTGTGCTGGTTGAGATGGGGGGCACTGGCGTCTTGGTTGATGGGGACAACATACAGGCGCTGGAGGACAGGCACATCAGCCAGCTGAAAGCTCTGCCACTGCTGCATGAGGGAGGTGTGACAGCTACTACAGACAACAGTAGTGCCTGATGGGCTGATCGGCACTGCACCTCTGGGAGCCGAGTGAAGCCACAGAAAAGGGAAAAAAGGCTCTCCCTGGGCCCGCTCCTGTTTCTGAACACTGACTTTGAAGTAACCATCCTGTCTGAGCACAGTTCCACAGATATAACACACACACTCCTCAGGACTGGAGTTTGCAGTGTGATGCGCTTGGGCACTCTTCCTGCCTGAGAGGTCTCTGACAGGTCTGAGCTGTGTAATTGGGCCTGCTTTGCGGCCATACGCCCCCCTGTCATCATCACTGGTGATGTTAATCTCGTCTTCATCTGAGTTGTCGTAATTATTCTCCCTGGGAACAGCCAAGTTACATTTAGAGATGACAGCAGCCGCACCAACAGACGACATGGAGTCATCCTCGGCTCTCCCCCGGTGCAGAAGCGCTGGATGTCTGGATGGAGCACAGCTGCTGTCGGCAACACGCTGGATCTGACGCGGCTCCACATGTCTGACATTCTCCTCCTCCAGCCAGCGCCTGTTGCGCATAATGACCCCGTTGTCTTGCACAGGTGTGTCAGAGGGAGGATTGTCATAGCCTCGCTGAGGGATTCTCTCCTGGGACTTTACCAGAGATGCTGCTGACTGACAGACATTATTCATAATTTTAGCCCCGCGCCTCGCCGGCTGAACACTTTCTGCTTTAGGCAATCCCTGCGCGTCATAAACACCCACCGTGTAGCGCACTGCCCGCTGTGAATCTGGGCTGTTTTTAATACTCATGACATTGTTTTTCCTGCTACTGTCTCTGGGCGATTTGCCAGGTGTCCTCAGATACTTTTCTTTGCCCGCGCCCGCTCTGTCGACTAAATCCATCTCCTGGTCCGAAATGTTCTCGTTTTCAGAGAAAGACGAGAAATCCGACTCTGCGCCCCCGTCGTAGTTCTGGCTGCTGACACTGATTCTCCTCTCCAGGTCGTAGGAGATGTTCCACTCCTGCGGAACCCGGCGGGAGTCGCACTGGTAGGGTCGTTTCAACCAGTACATGCGCTTCTCGATGGGCGTCCTGCTCCGCTCGAAGGAGTTCCACTGCTCCGTCAGAAAGCAGTGGCACACGGCGCACACCAGCGCGTGTCCATCCGGGCTCAGATCACACGCGCCCGGGGCTGGCTCCTGATTTTGGAGGAACGGGAAAAAGGGAAACCTCTCTTTCTTATAAGTCACTTGCAGCTTTAATTCCTTGCCAGGTGTCACTCCGCTTCCACAGATGAAGCAGTGAACAAGACCCCCCAGTCCGTTCCGATCAGCCCTGGAAGCGTTACGCAGCAGCGGGCTGTCCTCACCGGGCACCGCTGCAGCCATGAGTCGGCGTTTCCGAGATGAGGGTGTCAGCTCCTGCTCACCGGGAGAGTTCATGGTTTTAAACCACCATAACGTCGGCAGCTAGGTCATACTCCTCATAAGCGCTTGCCTCTGAGCACGCAAGGAGTTTCTGTCCAACTTGCAGAGAGGTACAGGCAGGCGACAGTCCATTGAAACAGCGGCGTGCAGCGAAGCCAGCGCACCGTGAAGTTTGACTCCTCAACAACAAGGAGGCATTTCCTCAAAACATCCACGCAGCTGCAGAGAAGTTCTCGTTATTTGCCGTCTGTGGTCCGCGCGTTGTTTGTGTTGGACATCCGCATGACACGAGCTGAGATCACTGCTCGTGTTTCCAGCGAACTTTCCTGCCTGCGCAGAGCAGCTTTGGCTGCTAGCCCCTCTCACACACACTGTACACAGCGCCATCCCTCAYTCATGGGACCCGCTCAGACACCGCGGAGGCAACCTCCACCTCCTGCACCACCACCCCCCCACCCCCCAGCACTCCCAAGTCTCAATAATCATTTTAGCAGATTATGAAAGCAATGTCAAACAAGTGACCATGTTTCACACTTAAAAAGAAATGACTTGTAAATTATTTTTTAATTTTTTTATTATATTAAACTCAGAGGCACTAAGTTCATATCTGTAACTTGCCTTAGTTTATATTATTATATACAAAATAAAAAAATCAGTGTTAATATATTCATGAGTGATTGATTGATTGATTGATTGATTGATTGATTGATTGATTGATTGATTGATTGATTGATTGATTGATTGATTGATTGATTGATTGATTGRTCGATTTAACAGGTCAGCATTAACCTACTGCCTCTTGGGCAACATTTTACCAAAACCTTAATTTTGTCTTCAGTATGAAACGAGTTGAGAAAATGTGTAGCATTTTATTCAGAACACAGCGCAAAACTTTGCTGATACTGTAAGTTGCAGCAGAAGACAGTAAACAAACTCTTTAAAGGCAACTCGTGGTATATGTAGCAGAAAATGCTAAAACATTTTATTTATTTATTTGTTTATTTTGGTTTTACATTTGTCATACATGGATACTCAAACCAAATGATTAGCACCCAGTGTAAGGCTGTTATTTTGGGGCATTTTTGTGACAGACTTCAAGGTTAGAGTCAAATCTTTTTTTTTCTTCTGAGCTGTTACGTGTAACTAAATGGACTTTATTTCTTGAGCCTTTTTGTGGATGAATAATTCACATGTTGCTTTAAAAGCAAAATCTTTCTTGCAAATATGGCCAGATTAAAAGACTGTTCTGAGTAGGAGTTTATAAATAAAAGGCATCAAATTGTCAAAGAGAAAATTTGAAAGACCTTCAAAAAGCTTAAAAAAGACATTTCAAATGATTACAAGAAAAGCTGGCTTGTTATATACAAAAGTCATCTCTTTGTTTAAAGATAGTTTTTATTTATTTACTGTATATATTTAAAGAAGAATGGAATTAGTGAGAGAAGTTGTCTGACAGTTCACACAGAGAGATAATAATCCATGTGAGGGGAAGAATTAAAACATTTCCCTTAATCATAGTGACTGAAGAAATTCAGGGTTCACTGGTGTAAACTCAAAGTTCGCTCTTTCATTCACTCTTTTTTTATCACTGTACACAGAGTGAAACTCCAGTGATTTGCTGTCAAAGCACATCTACAATACTGCCTTGAGCTGTCAGGTTTTGGTATTACATCATTTGGGGAAAACCTCCCTCTCCTCTCCTCTCCTCTCCTCCTCCCCCACCCCTCTCCCTTCAAGAGCCTCTCTTCTTTAGTCATGCAGACCAGATAAGAAGAAAAAATTTAAATACAGCGATGACATGCAGAAAAGATCGGTCATTCATTATTTAAAAAAAAGACATTGTGTAGTTGCCAAACATGAAAAATAAAATGAATTTAAAAAAGGTTATGTGTGAAAATGTCTGTCATCAACATATAAATAAATAAGTTTTTCCCTCTGATACTTTGACATTAAATCCCTGCCCACTTTCACATCTTCAAACTTCATTCGTCTTACATTATTCTACGTTTATATCAACTGACATGAATCATCGTGATATATTTTTCAACCATATCGCCCAACCCTTGGAGGAGGTGATAAGCATGTGTGTATGGGTGTGTTGTTGTTGTTGCATATACATAATGGCATGTGCCAATCGGTTTTAGTGTCTGAATGTGAGAACACATACAACACAAACACAATGCACCACTAAAATGCACCTAAGCCCATTTTTCTTTCATAGGTTTGTTCTTGATAATTCAGATAATCGTGAATAAATGAGATTTTCTAATATTATGTTAAACTCCCGAATACAGTATGTGTTTATGTGTAAGGCAGGAGTACAGAGTGTCTGCTTGTGCACATTGCTAAAGGGCATGACTGCATGTGCCAGTGCTTTCATTGCCATATGGAAGACATTGTTTTACAGTTGCACTGCAGGACTCCACACCTCACCTCAGAGCTCCTGAGAACTGGGTACAACAGAGGAAATTTATCAACAGGGGGATTTTTACAAATATATAATTAGCAAGATTTATCAAGTAGTCCAAAAAGTCTAAAACTTCCAAATGTTTACAAAGCATTACCAGACATATACAGCAACTAAAATGATTGACATCCTTAATTTAATCAGAAGACCTGCTCAAAGAGACCAACATGAATCCAGACAGACAAGTAAAGCAATCTATTTAAAAGTACAACTACCAAAACCTTTGGTCACTACATGCTAAACTTTTTCCTGAACATATTCGACAAGCTCTTCTTTTTAGGACTTGCACGTCTCTCATATGTGACTGATTTTCAGTTTCAGCAATGCCACACAACACGATGAGTGTGTGTATGTGTGTATGTGTGTGTGTGTGTTTAATGGCTTTATTTCAGACCACATCTGCGCTAAGAGCTTTGTGGCCCACTTGTGAAAGCTTTATACTTTTTATACACAGCTGCCTTACCAAAGCTGGTGTTTCTGTCAAAGCCTTTTCCTTCGACTCAAACACTACACTTACCGTTTCCTCTGTGTTTTGGCTGCTTGACTTCTCCCACAGGCCTTATTGACTTGATCAGACCAAGCCTGACTGACAGCACTGACTTTTCTGTGACCTTCAGACTCTTTCCTATTTCCTTCCACTTTATGTAAGTATGTTTCTGCTCCTGAAGTTCATGTGTGTTTAAGGATATTGGATATAAAAGCAWATGTATTAAAAATTGAGGATTTAGGTGTGGATCAGGGATGGGCAATTATAATGATGGAAAAGGCCAGAATCTTTGTTGGCACTACCAGATGGCCAGTTACCCAAATGTAATAAAACTGTATTTTAAAAATGATGTTGCACATATATTAAACCAACATACAGTGCAGTAACTTAACACATTTCATACTCAAATACATGTATAACAGTTGTGCTCTTTTTGTTAAATAAATATGAATATAAAATATTTGAAGCAAACAAAAATAAATACTTATCTTAGCAAGCTGAAGTGCAATGRTATAAGATGCCTTGAGTGCAGACTCCTGTGTAGTTTTGGGATGAAAAAGTTTCTGTTGTTTATGTTTTTGCAACTTCAGTAAACTTCTCAAATTTAGCTTTGTGCAACGTGTTGTAGAGGTGACTTTTATTAGAATGCTTCATGGCAGACAGCATCTCTAAGCAGACTAAACACATTTGCCCCGAAATTCTATAAACAGATAGTCTACCTTGCAAAAAAAAATCCTTTGATTTTTTTTAACTTAAATGCAAAATAAAAAGGGCTTTAAAAAAGCATGGTAAATTTTTATCAGCACAAATTTCCCCCTTCCAAATCTGGTCATTTTATTGTAAAATAAATTCTCTCTTATTCTTCACTTTCATAATTTTCTGTGTGCCAGATAATAGCAGTATTGTAACCTGAGCTCCATTTGTGTGAATACACACAAAAACAGAATCAAACTGACTCATTGGCGGGACGGACAGAAGTCACCTGAGGGCCACAGGTGGCCCTCTGGCCACCAGTTGCCCATCCTTGGTGTGGATAAAGAGTTTGGGAAGTGTCAGAGTCTTGGCTGAAAAAAAAAGAGTGAGAGCTCAGRGACAGTGAGGTGGTGAAGTGGTCAGCACTGAAGCTTTGCAGCTAGAATGCTCTGAGTTCAGATGTTGGCTGAGGCAGCATGAAGTTTGCTTGCATGAGTGGGTTTCCTCTGACTTTAGTTTTGTCCAACAGTCTAAAAACATTCAGTTTAGCTTGATTGTTACTGTAAACTGACCAGTGGTGTGTGTATGTTTGAATGTTTTCTGTCTGTTGACCCTGCAGCTTCCCACCTTCCGTCCCTGCAACCCTGAAAAACACAAAGCAGATGGATGGATGAATGGATGGTGGGCGCTCTGATTAGTTCTCACCACTTCTTTGTGTCGTTTGTTTATCAAGGTTTCAAATGGACGTTTGATGCCATGTTTAGCTGCCAGTTACAGCTGTGTTTCCTGCCAGGGAGGAACTCAGGCTGTACATGCTGTTTTAGGGAGGTAACACAGGACGTAAATTAACCCTAGGAAAAAAAAATCTGCAGTTGAATTCCTCTGAGGAGATTAATCACAAACAATGCGGAGCTAGGTGATACATTGCACACATACTTGAATGAGGAACATGCAAAAACAAACTTGGAGCTTGTCAGTGTTATCAAGCCGAGTGCTGAAGTTTTTGACACACCTAGACCAAACCAGGAAGCATCGCAAAGTTTCAAGTCGGCATGAGAGTTTTATCGTTGACTTTTATCAGCAGTGAAGCATGTCAGACTCACACAGGAGAGAGAGAGAGAGAGAGAGAGAGAGAGAGAGAGAGAGAGAGAGAGAGAGAGAGAGAGAGAGAGA